TTAAAAGAGAAGAGGATTTTTGCATATGTATATTGTAGTGTTTTTTTTGTTTAGGCACAGATCTCTTTGACGTCGCCTTTTTCGTTGCCTAGAATTCTTGAGATAGCCGGTTTAATAGCGGTTATATATAACCTAGTCTTCTATTAATCTCCTCGATAAATCAAGTCATGACGCCAGTGTGATAAGGGGGACTCGTCACGCAACGAAACATAAAGTTTCAGGTATTTTTCCTGATTCAGGAACATGATAGCTGATCAAACGCGAAGAAGACTTGTATTTGAAAGGAATTCAGTTAGAAAGCAAAGGTTGGTTACTTCTTTGTGTGGCAACAGTTTCAACTTTAGTAACTGTTGCTAAGTTCATCCTTCTATTTTGAACAGTTTCACCATAGTTAAAATGTATTAGTACAGCTGCCCCTAGTAGACGCAAAGCCAGAGCGTCCAATGAGTACAAAACATCTCGGCTGTGAAATTGGTTATAAACTTAGTGAAATTAGAATATGAACTGTGAGAGTAGTCGAAAAGTTACCACTGTCGCTGTTCGAACTGAACTTAGAGTTGTAGACGGAATGGCAGTAGTTAATGGCAGTCTGTTGTTGGAGCAGTTGCTACCTCTGAAGATAGCTGCTTTTTTTCTTCTCTGCCAACAGCGAAGAATCGTACAGGGTTCAACATTGAGTGTATCTGTATGTGTAGAGGCTGCAAATTGTAGATGTCCGCTTTTCCCAAAAGCTGCATTAATATTGATTATATGAAACGATGAACCAAGACGTCCAGATGATATTTAGTATAGAACAACTTATTTGTCACCGATTTGTATACGCTATTGCGCATACCCCCTTCAATTTGTACCGCTTATTTCAATTAGACCTGCACCTAACTAGAAGCGACAGTAAATAACTAACAAGAAAATTCTGAGAAATTTAACGAGCTAATCGAAATCACTAATCGTTTTAATAACATTTAGAGCAAATCGCCTTGAGACAAGGATCGATTCGTCTCACCTCTCCTTCATAGCGCCTTTGATCATACAAGAGCCGCTGGCGCGGGCTAATAATCCGACATAATACTTAAGATTACGTTACTAGCATGGATAACAGCTAGGTAACTTCTGTCATTGACTTTGTTGGACCGAAAGAGTTCAGTTCTTCAGAGGTCCGTTCGATAGGACAAAGGTCAGTGTCGAATTGGCTCTCTGTGGGACGCAGGTCGCTCCCTACCACAATGCACGGGCCCCGGCGCCCTCTAACAACATTATTAATATAGATATCGTAGATAGAGTCAAGTGATTATCGAGAACTTTATACTGACCTCATTAGTTCTGCTGAACAGATAAACATATTCGTTTTGGTTGACTATTTCTAATCGCCTGTCGCGTTTCAGCCGCTCACCGGCGGTGCGTCGGCACAGCCATCATCATAACTACTAATAACTTAACGTTTATACAAAATTTACCAGTTACAAGGAGATACCGAATTAGGTGGAAATCCGGCACGATCATCAGTCACAATGCCTTCGATGCATTGTCAGTGATGACCGAGACAGCGTCTGCTGCTAGTACTAATAATAATAATAATAACAACTCTGACTTTTACGAGTGCCACCGACCGCGGAAAATCTCTACTTGTATCTTATTTATGAGGCTTACTGAAGTAACGAGACTCGATGAAGTATAGCTGAGAGTCCCATAGCAATGTTAATAAGGAATCTATCTAGCTCAGGGACAGTTGTCAAATATATAGAACATGAGCGTACCCTGTCATAGCTTCGTTTTCGTTTCACTTTTAAAACGAAAGCAAACAATCGGTTATGGCAGTTCTTCAATAAAATACAACTACGAGATTATCGACTCAATTAGACAATTCAATGCGGTCTGTAAGCGCTGCTTCTGCCAATGATTTCCCGAGCTTCAACTCGTTGCCTTCATTTGTCATGACACACGACAGCATAAGGTCTGTCACAAATGACTACGCCCATCCGCGTGTCGCGTCACGGGAATTATCCAGAAAGTTACGCAACGCAGATGACTGTGACGCTTATTCATGTGAAAAGTAAAAAGACATTCTTCATGAAGATGTACCCTGTAAAAATCTAAATTTCCATTCGTATATCTTAGAGAAGGAACGCCACTTTCTAGACACCTATCATGTTTAGCAAACACATAATGACAGTGCACGACGCGAAAAGTTATTTTCGAAAGCTTCAAATATCGCTTGACACTCTGTATTCAGGGTTTAACTTCCTTAGCTCGACGCGCATACAGCTATTGTACCATTTTGAGGAAGTACAATAATAACTGGGATCTAATGAAAATATACGTTTCTTTCTTTCGAACTAGAAACGTTTCGAGCGCACCATTGGTGTTTTTGCCTAGAGAACGAGCTAACTACCGACCCTACAATCAGTTAACAGCATGTACGTTTTATATATTGCTCTGTACGCTGAGCGACAAGTAACGGTGTACCTACATCATTGTGAAATGAACAGATTTTTCTTCAAGTACTTTCGCCAAACGGCGCGTCACCTAATTAAGTTCGATTGTTAAATCAACCCGATATACAAGGTTTGCCTGTAAAAGTATTCTCTGACCAACGACGTATTTTCCAGCTATAGCCGTTTTTGTATGGCGCTTTGCCTGTTGGCATTGCAGCGTAGTAGGTCGTAATCGAGTCATTCTCTTGTGATATGCCTCAAAAGAATTTCGCCAGAAGACCATATCGATTAGTGCATCCCATCTCGAAAATTCAAAACGCCGAAGAAGATGTAATTCCCAACTCCGTGCTTAAGCTTTGTCTTAACCGCTCGAGTTATCTTGATAGCCTTTACTTTTACGGCTTATCATATAGTAATATGCCGCTCTGTTGCTGTCGATTACTAGAACTACAATTATTTCGTTTCTACATTTACACATTTATAAGCATTGCCAAAAAATTACCTCGGGCGTTGTCGTGCCAGTCGTGACCGTGTTACTGTAGCCGCTGTTGGTAAAATGCGGTGGACAAGCGGTCGCCGTGTCCAAATATGACATCGTTCCCACGGGGAGTTCCCGGCAACTCTACACTAGATTTTGCCAGATGGGAGTTTGTCGTTATGATAACGAGATACGACAAGCGGCTGCTTCTGTCTACGAGACGAGCTACACAACGTCTTTGCGCACTTCAGCAGCGTGCAAAGTACTCGCGCCGTTGCTGCTGCTGCTGCTGCTGCTGTTTCCCACTGATCTGTAAGCATAGACTCCTTCTGACACTTTTTCTCTTTTTTTTTTTGAAATTTCGGAGCACCGACAATTCTGAGTAATCTCAAATGGTGGAGCACAAATAGAGGTCGTCTAACTAAAATTCATCAGACTTCGACCATATTGTCGTAGCTGCGTTACATGCGAACAATTCGTAAAGAGATAAGCAGAAACCTGTTTTAGCCTAACTTTCTGCGACACCGAGCACTGACATCGTAAGATTTGGACAAACGACAAAAAACCGAAGAGGGTGGACGCTTCTTTATGTGCCTCACGCTTGGTGAGCCCAAAAAGGCAGTAGAAATACTCACGACAAACTACACCTTCATCATAGCTCGCTAGATAGATTTCTTAATCACTACGCACATACGGCACTCGTAAAAATGAACGGATGCGTATCTACCATAAAGGACACGCCTAACTTTGTATTCTTTTTCACAACGCTGGACTTTTAGGACTCTCTCTTTGACCTTGAACTATGTTACTCGTCAAAACTTTGTCGGTAGATGAATTTGCGGCGGCGGCGGCGGCGGCGGCGGCGGCGGCGACGGCGACGACGACGACGACGACGACGACGACGACGACGACGACGACGACGATGACGACGACGACGACGGCTAGGCTAAACATAATCGATTCATTTAAAGGTCTGCCGGACCAATGTTGGGCCTCGATCCTTCAGGCTGGCAGGACAGTGTGATCTTCGTAACTCTTTCACAGCTGTTCGTGACGCACAAGATTAATACGAGAGTTCTCTGTACTGTATTTTTTCCGGCCGCATTTTCCTTTGCCAAATTAGTTGATTCGGATACCTCTCTGAATCTACACACGTTGCACACGCGACTCAGTTGACACTCAACTTAGATATCATCAAGGCGTTTGGCCGCGCCTTACTGGATTGTATATTTCGATGGTCATGTTTAAATCACAAACCAGATATTCACTACAAGTACACATAACTATGCGTTATCACCGAGCCATCTGAACAAACTATTAACGTGTGATAAGCCCTTGCTTCGCAAAGGTTATATGCCATGGTAAAGAAGAAGGCTTTCATAGAAGCAGATAGGTGAACTGAAAATTGAAGACTTTCGTTAAATCTAGTGGAGCAAAATGGTGCTTATTCCGCTGTTTTTGTTCTTTCGTCAGCGGCATGATTAATTACCATTGTGTTTGCTCTGGTACTGATCATGTTTGTAAATACCGGCACGACACAAAACGTTTCGATCTTCGTTACACTCTACAACGTTTCCCTTGCGGGCACTTCTGTTACCGCCGTTAGTCGCGGGCCGCCGTCTTGAGAGGGCCGTTATTCTGGTATGGTTCACAGACGCAAGCAGTGGGCCTGCTTGGACCTCCTTGCGATGTTTCTCCATTTCATCAATTCACTCGCATAACACAAATGCTAACAGGACGCTGTAGAATAAGACGACCGACAAAACGATTTCTAGATTCGGTACTCTGTCCAGTAACATTTGCAACAAGATCTAGCCGTCGTAGCCTCGACCTGCTGCCCTCTTGCTCATAGATACCTTAGTTATTGTCCTAGTTATTGTTGTATTGGAAACTTTGTTGACAGTCTTTGTTTGTTGTGTCCAGATTTATCCGCGGGCCTATTTGGGCCTGAGCGGATCGTCGTTGTTGGTCGCGGCACAGAGGCAGATATTCAGAGCAGCATTTGAGTAAAGAAGCGAATCACAGGACCAACTGTTAGAACACGGCCGCGCACTGCACAATGCAACGAAGTACATCTATCCAATAGCACACCAGTACGACCGTCGACGTCAGCGTAATTGTAGTGGATCCTCAACGACAACAATAATTAGTGTAGTAACAGGGATGACGGCACCACCCGCTACTGATACCACGGACATGCATCAACCAGTCCACTTTTGACGACAGCAACAGAACAAGCAAATCGATGTTGCTGTTGCTGCTGCGATGCAGTCTTGCGGTATCGGGGCAACGAGTAGACACTTCAGGCGACTGATCCGCACGTTTTGTTGATCGGTTTATTTGTTGAGGCTGCGGGATTGTACTAATTGTTGCAACGGCGGCGGTGATGGCGGCGTTGTTACTGCGCGATGTGCACTGACTGCGCTCAACTTTGTCCGGCGCAAGTTTAGCGCTTAAAAAACCGCCGCCTGCAGAAGCAAGAGTGGGAGTCGCAGCAGGAAAAAGAAGGAGGAGGAGAAGGAGATAACGCCGTTAGAGCAGAAGCGCCACTGCGGTGACAATCTGCTGCTGAAGCAGCGGGTTGCAGCTGGTAAACAGTCGCCCGTGCAAGCGGAGTAGCCGCCCGAATAGTCGAATAACGTAGAATGAAAAGTGGCAACCAGAAAACAGTTGTTAAACGGTCTGCGGCGGTTTCATCGTAGTGTTAGTGGTCGCTACTAGCAGCTGTATTTCAGTAGGTAATTGTATGAAGTCCAATTGCTAAAACGAAAAACCCCTCCCTAGCTGTGCTATATAGCGGCGTTTCAGCTGTTCAGTCGCAGCGTGAAGGCTTTGCGCAGTAACAACAGCAACAGCAGCAATGGCACCACTACAGACACCAGAGTTACCCGCAAGGCGCGGACGTACTACGGCGCTGGCGGCGATCCCGCTCTCTCTAGGCCGCTGCTACTGTTACCGCCACGGCGGCGGCGGCGGCAGACGCCGCGGCGGGAAACACTCTCATAGTAGCGGCCTTCGCTACGTCACCAGTTAGCGAGACTGCTATCTATAATAGTGGGATTGCTCAGCGCTCGATGATGGTTCGCTTGGTCGGGTTCTCTAGAACAGAGCGCCGTCCTGCGCTCTTCAGCGGCGGCAGCGGCAGCGGCGGCGGCGGCAGCAGTAGCGCCAGCGGCAACAGCGGCGCCTGTTTGTCCGTTCAGGTCTGACGACCGTGGTCCGACCTACGACGCTGAGAAGAGAAGAGCCATCGGTGGCGGCAGGAGCGGCGGCGGCGGCGGCGGCAGTGGTGCCGGCGATGGCAGCGCCATAGTCAACCATAGACAGATGTAAAGGGGTTGAGGCGTGCTGCTCAATACTGTGCTTTCACGGCGCGGTCGGGGGATAGGCGGCCAGGTTAGGAGCCAGGAGCGATTATTTGTTGGGGCTACAACCCCAATGGTACTGGTGCTGCTTCTGTCGCTGTGGGGGTTATTGTTACCATAAGCATTCCTGGCTTAGTCGTCGTTGTCATCATCGTTGTCGTCGCACGCGTTTGCCAACCAGACAGGTGGTCGTTCATGGAAGAGAAAGGGACGGTGAACGAGCGTCGTTCATCGTCCCTTTCTCTTCCTATGCTGTCGTCGGTTTACACGCGGCAGCCGTGGCTGCGGCTGCGGCGGCGGCGGCAGTGGTTACGGAGGGGGCACAGACGCGCGTTGGGCGCGCGCGTACCCTGCGCCGCCGAACAAACATACTCTCTCCTTTTAACCCTCGCAATACATAGATACATGGACAGTTTCTAAATGGTACGGATACTCCGTGAATGACCACAGTAGCTACCCGACAGCGGCTAGACTCACGTTCGCGTTGGGACGCACACGGGGAGATCAAGCCTGTGCTAGCCGTCTGCTGTCCGATGTAAGCGACGTTCGGATCCTTGGTTCGGTACTTCTTGTTTGTTGGTTACTAAATTGTTCCCCGCAGATCAACTACCCTCAACGGGAGGAGTTGATGACTCCACGGTGGCGTAGATATTTGAGAATATGCGGACGCTTTGAGGCCGTCGTTTCGTCAGCAGCCGCTGCAGCAGCGGAAGGAAACGGCAGTCACAATGGCAAAAGCTAACGATATGTGGCTGCTATAATATCTTTCGTTGCAGCTGCTGCTGCTGCCAGGCACAGTATGCGCATTTCGCCTCCGAGCCACAGCGGTCACATACGCACACACAGGCTGGCAGGCAATTTTGTACGCGAAACGCGACCATCCTACGCGGAGGGTCACTGCGAACAGCCCCATGCAGGCGGCGGTAGCAGGCGCATCCACCTACACAACTGACACGGGAAGGGCGAGAGAGTGATGACAGAACGTTCTCGGCAGCAGCGCTGACGAACTGTAGGCCCCTCCTTTGGCGAAGGCGTTCTCTCCCTTTCGTTCCGGGCGGCTTCGGCGGCCGTCGCCTTAACCGGTCTCTTTATGGGCTTGCTAGCCGTCTGTCCGTCTGCCTGGCGACGGCTCGCTTGTGATGATGGTAACGGCTGTTTTATCAGTCGCCCGTTTGGTTAGTTAATCTGTCAGTGTTTTAGCGAGAAGCACAGCGGCATTAGTCGCCCCTCATAGAGAGAGGCACAGCTACGCTGGCGGCAGTAACGGTGGCAGCAACGATAGCTTGTGTCAAACGCAGCGGACTCTGTAGACCCATCTACAGTCGAGTGTAGCCGGGAATTGTAATACATATGTAGTTCTCGTTGTAATTATAATACCAGTCAATCTCTAACAGTTGTAGAAGAACGGGATCGAGCTTCATTTGGTAGGCGCGGATCAGGGCCGATCTCTCCTAATCGCTTCGTCTTTTTGTCGGCGTCCTCGTTGTTGCAAAGTAGTTACATAACCCCGACGACCATTACCAATATCATGGCTGCGTGGGGCATCAGCGTCGTAATTTCGCTCTATGAGAAGGGGTCGTTCGGTTCGTCCGCCGACGGATGGCGACAGATATTGAATTGCTACTGCTGCTGTAAAGGTTAACCACCAATAAACTCCTGTAGCAATTATCAAGGGAGTCGGTGAACTACAATGAACGATTATGATTGGCCATTTATTTCGTTGGCGAGTACGTTATACACGCATCAAAATGTTGACAATCATACGAAATGATTTTTAGGAGAGCACAAGGTAACACTGGCCTCATACTGGAGCGGCACAAACGAATAGGTCGACATCATACCTCGCCTAAGAAATTCCTTAAGGAAGATGGACAGCTGCAAGGACAAAGCACCTTTGCGTGGACAAGAGAAGAAGCTCTTAGCTCGACCAAGTAGCGCTGCGTACAAGTATCAATGCATCTATTTATTTAATCGATTAGGTACATCTCTGTTAAAAAGAGTTCAGCGGAATCAGTGGTCGGTAATAACTGACAATCAACAATGGCATGGGCTGGGATGGGTACACTGAAATCTATTATGTTCGGCGAGCATATTAGCATGCCTCGTTAAATGTCATGATACTGTAACCCATTGCAAAGTTAAGTGAGTTCATTCTGATCGATTGATACTTGTCATGTTTCAACATGGAACTGAATTAAAACACATTGCTCATGTCTTTGACGACCTTTCTAGGATAAGCGAGATCCGACTATGACAATGATGTTCCTTCTCTTCCCACAGTTCTATCGATAGTATGTATAGACAACGTCAGAGAATTCTTGGTAGGCTGTCTCCGCGCGCGACATTATCTGCTCTTCATCATTGTCATTTCCATGTGCACTATAGCTACCGATATGCTTAATGTTGTATAAATATATCACATATCTATACAGATTTATGTCCGCGAATGCTATCATTTTATAGCAACATCATTCTGTGCTTTGGCCCAGCCTAGCAATCTCTCCTAAGTTTCTCCTCGTCCATTCGTCAGTCCGTCAACGGACCGATCAATCGACTGTTCGTTGATTCATGCCGATGATCGCAGACACAGCACCGCTCACCGTCATCGCCATTATCCCTTCACTCGAGTACTAACTACTGCTACAAGCGGATTTTTCCATATCTTTTATCGTCTGTTCCCTCATCGTATCGAGTGGAGCGTAGATCTGGCGGAGGGAAGGCTCTGGCAGTTTTCGTCATCATTGAGTACGCCATCGCCGCCACCATTACAACAGCTACTACTACTACTACTAGTAGCGCCATTACGGCCCGACCGTCGTCGTTCGTGCAGTAGGCAAACTCCGCCCAGAAACGATTTTAGCCCCTCCCCTTCCGAGATGTTGGCTGTAAGTGGAGCAGCGATGGCGGCAGCGGCCGCCGCCGCCGCCGCCACCGCCGCCGCCGCTGCTGCTGCCAGCTAAGCCGCTCGACTCCACCTTCGCTTTCGCTGGTGCGTGTTTCCCTGTTCGTGGCGCACTTTAGGCTCGTTGGCAACGGGCGCCTAACCATAGCGCGGCGCCGCCAGCAGTAACCCAAAACATTAGTAGAAGTTGTAGACGTCATTGTAATAGTAGTACTATAGACAGCATAGAGGCAACAACAGCGGATCGAGCGTTCGGGGGACAGGCATCGAACAAACAAATATTCGACTCCCCTGCCTGGGGCTGGTCAACGAGTCGACGAACTATAGCATCGTGAATTACTACATACATGCACGTACTGCATGTGTGTCACCTACTGTATGCATTACTTCGCAATTTAATATAAGCGTGAGAAAAACCGATAGTTAGCTAGCGAAACATGAACGAACGAAAGAAATTTAACAGTCAAGCCCTGCTGTCGGAAGCGGTACCGGGTGATGGTGTACGGGCGGCTCCGAAAGAGGGTGCTCGACGTCCATCATATATACAAGGCTTTCTGAAAAATACAATTTGAACTATTGTAGCCTTAATTTTTATTTACATCAAGTCAATATTTGACCTTCAGAAGAGTTTGCCAAATGTAAATGCGATGTTTGCTAGGATTTTATTATGATAATTATGTTTTCTTCCGGGGTCAATAAATATACATACAGTATGAATTTGAGGTTGCCAGCGGAGATCAGCTGGAATCAAAAGCTGACAGGCGAATGAATTTGTATTAGATAGGAAGAAATTGATGAAATGCTTTTGTAATAAGTGTTTCATTTTATGTCCTTTTTTCTGATCCTTGTACTAAGGTACTGCCGAAACACAAACGCATCTCTACAATAATACAGCGTAACGTTAAATTCAAGGTCTGGAAAGGAGTCCTAAAACAAGACGGAGCAGCCAGGCAGATATTCAAAGAACATAGAGCGTATCGCCTCTTCGTCAGATATTAGTTTCTGCTTCAAAGTGAGGCGGGAGAGAGCTAGCCTAAGAGGAAGCTAGCAATACATCTAATATTGTATTACGACACTCGCGAGGCTAATACTTCGTCGTTTCCCTCTACCAGTGGCTAAATAGCAAAACATGATCCGCCGACTGGCGTCCCTTGCCCCTTGCTTTCCTCAACGTTGCTTCTTGTGCTGTTATAGTTGATCCCAACGGTGACATCCGAGTGAATGCGTGGGGAGTCGCAAAGAAATCAAGCTACACGAGTGGGCGGAGAGCACAAAGTAGGACATACAAACAAAAGCAGTTGCAAAAGGGCCTCTTCGCCTTTATCGAGGATTTGAAAAACAAAGCGATAAAGTGCGGTGCCGATGCTGACGACTCACTGCATGAAACTCGCAGGTGACGATTTAAGGGGCTACTACGAACTGCAGGACATCATCGAACATCTCAACTGCATTTGAGTCATATTGAACTTAATCAATATCCTTTAACCCCTGTCCCTAGTCCTCTTCTTTCTCTATTGTTTTAGCCTACTTCAGCATGTTGCATGGGCGAAAAAAAGCTAAGG